CATATTCCTCTGCTTATCCAAATCAGCATCGTGGGGCGGAGCCTGTCCGAGCTGTCAGGAGGCAGCTACACCCTGGATAGACGGCCAACACAGAAGACAACTTTTTATGCTCACATTCACGCCTACATGACTGTCTTGCTCTGAGGCTGACTGACCCAAAACTGTGCCACACCACTGAAGCTTGTTAATTTAATTAAAAATTACTTATTGATTAGAACTTATTGATTTCATTGGGGTGGCACGGGAATTCAGATTCTTGGATCAGAAGTAAATGTGGTGAACAAAAACACTGGGCACAATTTTTCAGCTCCTTCTTTCCTCATTCAAATATATGAAATATGACATGAAATTGGCTTTGCACTGAGCAGCCTAACTGCCTTGCAAAGCACAGAAATGGGTATTTACACCCTTTAAGTAGAAGTAGTACTTGTACTTTGAAATGTTTTAGCTTCGACATGCACTTCAATTATGCAGAATCAAGTGCATGAAGTTTAATGGATCATAACATTTGATTTATTAACATGTACATCAATTTGATATTATAGGTGGGAGTTATTTTGATTACTAATATGCTGCTGGGTAGTTTTGTCTTTAACAACATCTGTTAGCCGCACATATAGCCTTCAAACAATGGTGTTGTCATCCAAAATACAGTGGTGCTGAAATGCGAAGCAGCAGAAACAGAGAAATACTTGAACAAATTAGAAGCACAGGGAAGCTGTAATTCAGTACTTGGCTAATTGTACTGTTACTTTGTACCCGAGGCTTCTCCTTCAAAACTAATGAAAAGAAATCTATAAGATCAGGCCTGTTTGTGTTAAAACTTGTGTTGCCAAAAATCATTGTGATCTTTGGGATAATCACTCGTACACATGCAGCATGTGCTGCGGTCATGAAGACAATTAGAGAGCACACACACTGCAGAATTTGACCCTGACGTCCAACTGCAAAATCTAATGTCTTTCTTTCCCTCTCCACCCTCCTCCACGTTTTTTATTTCACTCTCTTCTCCATTGTGTGTGTGTGTGTGTGTGTGTGTGTGTGTGTGTGTGGGCAGTGAGCAGTACTTGGATGCTGCTCTCTTCCTCCTCCACATAACCAGCGAGTTATGTAAGAACTCTAAAGAGTAGCCCGTATGGTACCGGTAGAGTATTTATAAATATGCCTCTGTCAATGCAAAAGAACCCCACTACCCCAGAGGCGTGTTAATGCTAATGCCTGCTGAAGCTTACTTAGACAGCGCTTACCTGCAGCCCCTCCCCCCTGTTTCTATTTGCATATCTCCTGTTATTGCTAAGTGCAGAGGCTTTCAGAAGTGGATTCAATATATGTACACTGGACACTCATGAGCCACTTGTCTCAGAGACAAGTGGATGCTGTCTTTCTTGTTATATCTTTGAGCACGTGTTGACACTTTTCACTTGACACTTTAGTGAAATTCACATTCACAACAAAGAATGAGAAAAAAGGAGAAAAACAAGAGTTTTTTTCCCACTGAAAGAAATATCTTCAAACTACATTTGATTTGTCTGTACTCATCTACATGTCTGGGTCACATGAATAAGGGTTAAATTATAGGGGGAAAATGTAGTAATTCTAATTAGGCAGCAGGACTGTTTTACATCATGAAATCATGTTTATTTAAAGCTTGAAAGTCACTTCATGTAGCATGTGCTGGAGCTGGGAGTGCTTGTGTGAAGCTTCCATAAAAACAGAGTGCCCTCAAGTGGCCGGTCCAAGAGCACACACCTTTATTGGGTAGTCTTTGAACCTTGGTAAAACAAATGTTTCCCAGAGATCTGTGATGGATAAAAGCATTGGGGATTTTACACCTAGTTTTATGTAGAAAGTGGTTAATATATGAGTAAATATATAAGTATATGGTTGGCTTCGTTAGTAATTTGTACCTGTGTATACATAAAGACCTAAACAAAAGGGGCAAATCACATTATAAAACACTTGTGACCGAGCAGCCATTGCTATTGCTCAGTGTTTTGAAATTCATGTGTCACTACGACAGCAGTAAAGGTTGAGTTCAATATCTTCAGGAAATTCTGAAAATTAGCCAACTTCAGTTGTAGGCAATTTGAAATAAGATTTAACGAATAAACATGAAGGAGAAATACAACATATTAATAAACCTCGCTGAAAAATGTAATCCGTTTAGCATTTTAAATGTAATTGCGACTAATGATTAAAAAAAAAAACGCTTGTCTCTAATAACTCGTCTTGTCTACGGGTTTTAAATATAATATTTTTCGGAGTACTTGAATGCAGCCTAAGGCCGACCCTTTAGAATTTTCTAGTCTTTGATTGGTTGAGTCATACGTCCGTCAAAACCTCACCTCACAGTCTGTTCGAGTCAGGGGAACAGGTTGGAAAGAGCCCGACGGAGGCTCGTACAATCAAATACTGTTGGTTGCAGGTTGTAACCGGATCTAACACGCAAGCTGGTGAGGAGTCGTGTTAGTTTTGCTTCATTTATTGGATTTAAAAAAAAAAAAAAAATGATTGTGTTTTCTGCCTACCGTACAGACAGGCTTGCTTTCCGACGCATGAAGAATCAACTCGCGCATTCACGAGCTTTGGCTTGCCAAGATTATGTGTTGAGCTATCGCGTTAGTACTTATGGTAACACAGGCTAGCCTAAAGCTATATCATGATGTTACAGCTATACTTTTTGGTGGTAGCTGGGGTTGAATGGGCTATTATTCCTCTACTTTCTTGTGTATAATAGTCATGGCAGACACAGTTTCACCACGCAGCTTGACTTCTTAACGTATTCATTCCCGAATAACAAATGGCATCATGCACTGTGAAATCCGACTAGCTTAGCAACACGAGGAAGCTAATGTCGTGACTGTTTGTACTGTTTATACCACCTATTACATGCTATAGAGGTACCTTATTAAACGTCGTGCACATCTCAAAACAGTGTTTTGTATTTAAATAAATAGTTAATAGAGTGGTCGCATACATTTGGGTTTGTATTGACACTTCATTGTTTCCCAGTCTCTTTGCTTTCTCTATTGTTCTACAGTTTTAATATGCATGCACAAGCAGACCTATTTAAAAGCCTTTCCTGCTGCATATACTCCAAACTATAACATTTTTAGTTTCTAATACATATGCAAATCCTTTTATTCAGCAAGACAGACGTGTAAGGCACTGTGAAGAGAAGTATGATTTTTGAAGCTAAAAGTGGCATCTCAGTAGATGTGGATAGTGTTGTGTTTAAAAAAAAAAAAAGATAAGGAGCCCCCCCATAATAAAAGCTTATTCCCTTTTTGTTTAATTCTTACCTTAAAAAGAAATATATTTATCATATTTTAACTTAAACAAAGACAAGCAAATAAACTGAACAACAAACCACCTGTCCCAGTCCCACACGTGGTAATCTGATACTCAAATTTTATCATTAAATGTTACTTTGTCACATAATGTTAGTCTTCTAGACTTTGTACATTTAGATGTTTGGTGTATTTTTATTGAAATGGTTTAACTTGGCGGGAGTTGCATATATTTGGATCATAGTTGTTATAAAACATGGATGCAACTTCTGTGATGTCAGCCATCGGTTTCTGAAGTCCTGTTCTTGAGATGCGTGTTGGTTGTAAAACAAAAACAAACAAAACCAAGCAGACGGCATGGATGAAAGCACTTGCTCATTGGCTAATGATTCGGAGCGGCCGTGGTTTGGGGGGTAGATCGTTGTCTACCAGTCGCTACCAAGTCTGGATGTCAAAATATTCTTGGGCAAGATAATGAACCCCGAGTTGCTCCCAGTGCAACTACTGGAGTGTGAGTATGTGTGCACATACGGCCGGCTGTGACTGGTTCAGATTCCCCCCCAGCCTGCTTCTGCCAGAGGTTTCTTCCTGTTAAAAGGGAGTTTTTCCTTCCCACTGTCGCCAAAGTGCTTGCTCATAGGGGGTCATATGATTGT